CCGAGTCGATCGTGATAGATGGGCCAGAAGGGCGGGAATATGAGCCCTGGGAAAAACCTGTACGATTACCATGTTCATTACCGACTTCAGCTGGTCGATCTGTGAAGGTCATCAACGACAGCTAGGATCACGGTAGATCGCATCCACTGACCAACTCCTTTCCCCTTGTTTGTCTGCTGGATTACTACCTGTATATGTTGAGAAGTATCATTGACCGGGAACAATGCTGGTGGTGTATATAATTGCGAGTCGTCCATGATGGTGGTTGGTTGGTTGGAGGTTGGAGGTTGGAGGTTGGAGGTTAAGGGGGACCTGATATCGTAATCTTTAAAGGGGATGATAAGCGAGGGCGAGTTAGGTTTCAGTTGGCTCAGGCCCACGAAGCAAAATATAATCATACTAGCACCTTGCACTGGTAGGCTAGGGTCTACGCAGTGCGACTATAACCTTTTTTGTACACCCCATCACTGCAATCACTATTGGCTCTCTAAGCAGCGCGATTGACGCAAGAAGTATATATAGTACCATAGTTCGAGCTGAGGAACAGCGTTGCTTATGTCTACTATTACTTAGTAATTCAAGTTGTTTCTCGATCATCTTTCACGAGACCCTAGAGAAGATCCACGTATATTGTGATTTTCAGACAACATTACAGGAACTCCACAATCGAATCTTTCATTTGCCAGTCATTCAATTCCTTCACGCCCCATCCGCCATGGGGCCATTCAATGGATTAGAGACCCTCTCGACTTTCTAAGCGATTCTGCAATTCCCAGAAACGTTTTAGCAAGTTGCACCCGAGGAATGAGAAGTAAAATGAATGTTAAATACTCTTAATGCGTTCCTGCAGTAGCAACACGGGCCGTGTCTAGGGCTTGCGTATACGAGGATGCAACTGTTGCCACTGCTGGAACCAAAGGATTTCTTGGCGCATTGTTTTGGATGTCAAAGTGCAATTTCAGCCATTCTTCACAAGGGGGGCGAATGGTTATCTGTTTCAAATGGTACTGCGTGGAAAGACTAGACTGCGTGTCAGAAGTTGGCGATCCAAAGAGAAAACATGCCACGGACCCAAGACGAACCGCAGAGTAGCACAAATCTTGAACAGTCTGATCTGATATTGCACTCGCTATCTGACAGGAATACGATCACAGTGCTCTTGAAAGCAGCCTTGAGGATCGTAAGCACGCTAAATTAACAAGATGACGGAGCACCTTCCTGCACTCCAGTGTTGTTCCATGATGAATTGTACCATCTGAACGGCCACAGTGAAGTTTATGCCTCCTTGAGCTGAATATGGTAACATGACGTCTAGCAATTGGTCTAGAGAACTGCGTTTGTAGGCAAAGCCCGTGTATGACTCTTGCAACAACCACTGCACGTCCGAATGTCATACGAGCAGTTGCAGCCCTTCGAGGGCAAGTTTGAATCAAGCGCCGTGAGTTAAACGCGCAGGCATATAATTTCTAACGAAATCGCCTCCGAATGCCCGCGATATACTCGCCAACACAGAAACATTGCCACCGGACGTCAGAAAAATTATGATGATGTGCAAACGGTGCACATGCAGTAGCGATATACAGTATACTGTAGCCTCAAAGTTCAATCGCCTTGCAAAAGCTCCATCGTGCGATCTTGTTCGCGGCGCGACTTGGGAGGCTTCACTACCAGGTCTGCTTGTTGCCTACGAAACACAAATCAGAGGGTGAGTTGAACGACTCGTGATAGGCTCTCACAAACGCATCCGCAACAGCAGCTTGCGGTTTGTGCTTTGTATCTCATCAGCCGTCTTCATGGCATGCGCGAACAGCTCAGCCCTGTGATCTACTTTCCTCGCTTTCAGAATCTGGAGCGTTAACGATGTCAATAATCTCCCCACAGCCATGCCGATAATAGTGGCTTGCCTTGTTCTGACTGTCAACTCGGCCCTGAATCTGGCCGCTCTGAATCAGCGCAACCACCGCCTTCTCGACCTCTTCAACAGTCCAGCCAAATGCAACACTCATCCTGTCAAGGCGAATGGTCTGGAAAGGCTGGAAGTAAAGTACTACTGCAACATTACGAATGAGGTTGGTCAGGTCATATACATGTGGGTACAGGTGAATGTCCACATAGTGGCGTGTCTTGCGCAAGCAAATATTAATCGGGGGTATGCACATTAGAACATATGGTACAAGACATACCGAATACCGCTCAAGAAGCTCCAAGACGTTTTTGAAATCACTTGAGAGATACGACTGAATCAACTCTCGAATATACGGCTCTTGTTCAATGTACGCAGAGAAGATAGCATTGCCGGTGAGAGACTTGATTGCAGATCGCGACATGCTAGCAAGGGCGCATAGAGTCCCGTATATCGCAATGTCACCAGGAGCGACGAGCTGGAATAAAAATGAGCCAAACGTCAACCGCAAAGGATCTCGCTTGCCTTGCCAATCCAATCGCCAAGCGAATCAGAAGGGCCAACTTTCAGGAAGAAATGGGCAGCTTTCTCGTAGTTGGCTTGTCCTAGGTGAGACAAAGCCATAGCAAAGTTCAGCTTGGGTTGCACTTGGTCACGTTCTGCTGATCGCTTGGGTGCCGGAGCTGCTGAATTACCACCAGAAGCGGAAGCGGTGCTGGACGCTGCTGCAGCACTTGCCGCCTCAAGTGCGCCCTCGGCCTTAAATATGTAGGAAGATATGTGTGCGTAATTGCGTTGCTCGATCACAAGCTGTTGAGGAATGAATAACCGAACATCAATATCAAAATATGAGAATCTACCTCTAGGACAGATAGACACATATCAAGGACATGCTGACTGGTTGAGCAGAACTCTCTTGATTTCGTATAATGTTTGAGTGCTTGGGTATAGTCTCCAGTGGCGCGGTAGAAGTCACCGAGGTCTCTGTGACCCATCTGATGGAAAGATGATTTATAGTTCTGTCTGAGATCCAAGGTACTGGCCGTACCCGTATGCTCTCCTTGATCATGTTATTAGAGTATGTCTTCAGCTCTACCTCTAGCTTCGTTCTCTCGGTTTGATTCTTCTTCACAACCCCTTCACACCACGCCGTGTTGACTTGGCACACTTCACTAATAGGAAGTAGCTGCGACTCTGGCAGGTCTGCCACGGCATCATACGCATTCATCGCAGTCTGATAAAGGGATGGATCGCGAAGCCCCTCGATCTGCGCGAACGCCAGCTTCAAAGCTTGTGGAGCCACAGCCGGACATGTCAAGATTATATGCACCAGCCTGTCAAACGCGGTGCGACCTGAAAGAGTTGGAAACCTTGATCTAAACAACAAATCAGGAAGGGTGTTTTGATACCATACCTGAGTACCCCGAGATGTACGCGTCTAGATCAAAAGGATGGGCGTCGTCCACTGGTCGAATCCGTCTCCTCTGGACTGCCGAAGGTTGTGATACGGAGACCTCATTGTCAAGAAAATCAATTTCCATCACTAAGACTCTTGCTCTTGGTGGGAGACTTAGTAGGGGGACTTCAGGTGAGGGAGGAGAACGTGGTTGCTTATGTAAGCCAAGTTACCCCTGTCACCACTGCTTTATTCCTCCAATCACTCAACTAAGGATTCCACTACCAGGCTTACTCTCTTGCCAGTCCCGCTTCCAACGTAACATGAACTTCCCCAAGACCCCTGCCAATCTATCAGACAACGCAAATATATGCCAATGCAACGGTTACGTTCTCACGATCGCCAACTTACGTCACGGTGGTGAGTCCATGCCAGCTCTGCACTGTGCTGCATAGCACGACTATTCCAGTAATTCATTACTAAAAATGCGCACTGATATTTGTATTATCACTAGAACATGATTTATCTGGAGCAGTCATTTGTTCCAACCAGCTTTACATCGACACTCGACTCGTAATCAGCAATACCAACCGCAGAAGAGATGAAGGACAAAGCTTGGAACGCATTAGAGCCTAGATGAGCCTATAAGTGTTTTGGGACACGAAAGAGATGACTATGGCTCTCATGCTCACCCACCAAAATGCGCTCCATGAGCATCAGGTAGCATATGATATTCAGCGCAATCCTCGCATTGAAATACTGACGTTGAATGATAAATCCGACGTGCTGTTCACAGATATCAATTTCGGATTTACACCGTACTGGAACGTGCTATGGCATGCCAAGCTGGCGGGGTGCATACCAGTTAGCAGTATCGGTGCATCCAATTCCTGCACAGCAGCCATGAAGCTGAGTCATACCCGCGCCATCTCGGTTCACTGCATGGAACACAGTAGAACATATAACCGACTTTACTATTATAATCAAACCCGAGTGTGGGATGTCTCATGCAGCGTGTGCACGGATACAGTTGTGCTCCGGCAGGAGCGCCACTGCATCAGTGCTACGGCTACGAGAGCTTGAGAGTATGAGAATACTAAGACTGACGCGGCGTCTGACAGAACAGACAGTGTTTCTCAGCGTCGCGAAGTAGGTTGCAAACGTCTAGAATATATTTACCTGACAGAACAGACAGTGTTTCTAACGTGGCGTAAGTAAATATGTTCGTAGGAATATCAGAAAGAATATCTCACCTCAGCGTCGCGAAGTAGGTTGCAAACGTCTGAGGTGCAATAGCAAGCAAGTACGTGTATAAGTAAAGAAAGGAAAATAACGCTCGGGGCTCCGAGGCGGGATGAATGGCGAATATGAGACATACTGATCCCACATTTATGGGCAGGATATTGCGGACGTCAAGGACAAAGTGACAGGACAAGTCAACAGCTAATAGAACTGGACAGGAGTACCCCTGGACGTTCTTCGGGCTTCGGCGCTAGCTTGTCCGATTTCCAACAGAGAGGGCCGAAGCCAAGTGTGTGGAGGGGATGCAAGGGATGTTGGGGCGAAGTTTTGGCTGAAATGAGTCATGGTAATGATAGAAGTGTAAGTGCAAGAAGCGGGAGTAGTCTCACCCCTTTTCCCAACGGTTAGTAAAAAGGTGTTGGCGGAGTCATTTCTAACTTCTGGGACCAAGCGTCCATCGGGCCCTTGGCACAGTTGGTAGCGCGTACGCTTCGCATCCGTGAATGCGTAAGGTCGTGGGTTCAACTCCCACAGTGTCCATTTTTTCTTGGTACGATTGACAGGGTACACAAGTCGTCATTTCCGAGCTTAGGTTACCCCAAAGCTCTAATGAGGCGCGCCTGCAGAGGCGGCAGCAATGAGTCAAAGAGCAAATCCTTTCAGCCTCGCTGATCGATCGGGTGAAAGGAAACAAAATAACATGCACCCGATGAACAACACGCACTCGGCATAACCGCGCCAGTCAACGTCTGGGGGTTGAATACATAGTAACAATAGAGTAATACTACTCGAATCTTTTCCATGCATGCTTCTCGAACTCTTTCAGCTTCGCTCGCTTTGTCGTGCTACAGGAAAGGACGTCAGAAAACTTGCGCTCAAAATATTTTACTAGTACTCACAGAACGGGTACGCGAGGCTCAATAAGAGCTCGTTGCTGCATGCTCCGGAAGCGATCACGAAACAGGTTACCTTCAGGCTAGTGGAACGCCATCAGCAATGATAATCAACACAGTGCAGTCAGCGTACCTTCAGCGTTCTCAAATTCTCGCTGAGATCCTCCCCAATCTGAACCTCGATTTCATTTTCAAGGACTTTATATTTTCCTAACCGTTGACCAGCCAAACCCTTGGTGAGCTTGGCCTTCAGGGCCAGTTGTCTCACCAATCGTGCTTGATGTTGCTGCTGGCTATTTTTCTCCGCACTCGAACGAATAGATTTGGCTAACATTATCGTGGTGAGCATCCTTTTTTTTGCAGCTTTTTCTGCCAAAGCTTGTTTCTGATGCAAGCTCAGCAATGACGATAAGGAACAAATGAACAACTCACTTCGGCGCGTAATCGCAGCGCCTTTGCTCGCTGCTGCTTAGTTTTAGGTGCCGATGGTTTCTTCGGCACAACCGCATCCTGCTCGGGGTCTGGTTCACCATCATCTTGAGGTATCTCGTCCAATGTCATTCCAAGCGGAAGGCCGTCCGTAACATTTGGGGCACGTGCACGTGCTTCAGCAACCTTGCGTCGAACTTCCGCCATTCGATCTGCTTCTTCTTGTTTACGGCGTTCAACCTTACATGCCTCTATAATAAGTTCCTCGTGTGCGGCAGCAGGGGGGTTGTATGATGATCCTTGATGTGGCTCCATGACAGCAGGAATCTCTATGACGTCGCGGGGATGAGACAACTCCGGGCGCTGTGAACAACATTAGTTAATCCCCAATGGCAGTGAAGAGGGGGCTTGCTTTAATCTTAGGCTTCGTCGCATGCTCTAATCCATCAGCTATGTCTTCGACCTCCTCGGGAACCCATGGGTCATACGAGCCACTGTGTTTTACAGCAGCACTAACATCGATGAGAGCACTTCCTGCACCAAATTCTGTGTGGTCCATGATCGCATTGAATGGACCTTTTCTGGGCCGCTTTGCGATGCGAAGAAGGCGCTCCTTGTCAGCTCTACTGATTTTTGATCGTGAGGGTGCGGCATCTTTCGTAGGGCGAGAAAACACTGCAGGAATGGCAGATCGTTGGGAAAGTATTTTTGTAGCAGTTAGTTCGGCCTTGGAGTACCGCGGTAATGTCTTGCGAACTATGCAGTTTCATATTTGTTTGCAAGAGATATTTTTCGTAAGAACGTACCTCTATCGTCTCCTTTAGTGTCTACCACAAACAGTTGGTCGTTTGTCTGTTTTTGTAATGTCGAGCTATCATCCAAGCAACGTATGATTAAATGGCAGCACACAAGTAAGACATGGATATTGCGCACCCAATTACTCGTTCTTCTGAGCGGAGACTTTCTAAACCTTCTTCCACCGGCTGTATGTCGATGTTTTTTCTCCATGCCTTCTTGCCCTTACGGGTTGATTGAGCAAGCTGGGATGGGGCTCCGAGACCCGACACATTAGGCTTTTTGGCAGCCGTTCTTGAAGCTGATGAGGATATCTTGCTGGATTTCGTTGGAGCCATTGATCATGAACGACGGGACGAGGACTACAGGGAATAATATTAGACTTCAAGCTATCTATTTGTCACGGTCACATGCTGTCACATTCAGATCTCAGCACTGCCACTAGGACTACGTAAAGTAGACGTTCTCTGTCCACGATTCATATTTATCCATAGTTTCGATGAGTCCTTTTGCCTTTTCTCTCCCTGCCCTGACTGCAACCCTATGCAACGGAAACCTCAGCGGCGCTTCAGCTAGGTGAGCAAGCTTTTCGATGATCACCACCGCCTTTTCAGTATCTCCATCTGCTACAGTCGAAGTCATATATTCACGGAATTTAGAACCACCTAGTTCAGGGTTAGCATATGCTGGATGTTGAGGAACCATTTGCATGTTGTCGTTGAACATCTTCGTCCGGAATGGACCTGGCTCGATTATGGTCACCTGCCCGAGGCTCGGGCCTTAGCTTGAATTCGACCATAAGGCTGGATTGACTATACCTGGATGTTCCATGCTGGGTCCATCTCTTGCGCGACGCTCTCACTGAATCCTTCTACTGCTGGAAAGTTGGTCGGTATGATATCCTGCTATGGCGCTTGACAAAGCACTCACCATGTTTCCTGTTTTCAAAATATCAGTACGTGAGCATTGGAAAAAGGGTGCGCATCATCACTCACGATGCAGCATAGTAAGACGCCCCTGCTCTTCCATTCAAACCCAGCATAGAAGAAACCTGCAGCAGTCTCCCTCCGATGGGTTTGTTCACTTCCCTGAACGTCCGAATTGCCCCCCTGGTCACGTTTGATACGCCCCAAAAGTTCACTTCGACGATCTGGCGGGCATCTTCATCGCTTAGGGACTCCATCTCTCCGTGAATAGCCGTACCCGCGTTGTTGAATACAACATCGACACGCCCGAACACCTCTTTGGCTATCGCGAACGCGGCAAACACCTCTGAGCTTTTTGTGACATCCACCTGGACGATCAGCAGCTGGGAAGAAGGATACTGTTCCGCGAGATCCGATAGGGCTTCTTTTCGGCGTAGTGTTGCAATCACTTTGTTTCCGTTCTTCAATAGGAGTTCGGTCATAGACCGGCCAAATCCTGAGGACGATCCCGTAACTTGCATTGATGAATGAATTCTTATTCTGCTGTCATCAAACATTGTGCTCACCTAGCCAGACCTTTGATTCTGTCATGATATATTCTTGAGTATGGGTGGATGCTGGTTCTCTCAGAATCAGACCGTCGCTTTATATCGCACATAAGTTGGTCTGAATCAGCACGATTACTCAGTTCTGCAGTGGTGACATCAAGGAAGTGGTGTCGTACTAAATTTGGGTGTTGTCATCTATAATGCCCGTGGTAGCTTACTGTAATCATTATGCTAATAATCGAACCTTGACGCTCGCTATGAGTATGCTTTGATAGAAACAGCCACTTATCCGCTTATCAGAGGTGTCGTTGGACACCTGCCAAGTTTATATTATTCCATGTTTGGTGTTTCAGTGACCACCTACTCCATGTTACGTACACCGAGCGCTGAAATGCTCGCCTCCGTCTTTCTTTGAAACCACACAAACTGCGCGCCCGGTTGTAGGCGTCCACAATGCGGTCCATCGATAAAACCGATGCACTGTCAACAAGATGGCGAGGCTGGGTCTTTATCGGCGTCGTCTTCCTATTATTTATGCAAGCTGGCCTCTTTGCCGGCCACAAGGGCCACGTTTCTCCACAAGATTTAACTTCACGAGAAAAATGGCTCGAGACCTCCACTAAGTGGATTCCTTTCCTCAAGCATGGGAGTTCATACTCCATCGAACACCCTATACCGAAGTTGATGGCAGACGCGGAGGAGAAGTTCAAGAATTTACTGGCCAAGCAAAGCAAGACACTTCGACAAGCAGTAGTTGAATACAGGAAACGATACGGCCGTGAGCCTCCCAAAGGGTTTGGCGAATGGTGGCAATTTGTGCAGGATAACAATGTGAAGCTCGTGGATGAGTTCAACGCCATCGACGAAGATCTCGCACCGTTCTGGGATATGTCGGGCGCGGAGTTTCGGAGGAGGACTGTCCAAGTGAGTGACGACCTGCTTCAACTTGGGTGCCATGATATTTATGTTATAGGTGGGCGAACTTCCGTCTATTGATTTGGTTCGCATCGTGGACGGCAAAATCGAAGAATTCTCGGTTGACAGGATATCTGGAGAGCGTGGACACAGAGCTCTTGGGTTCATCAGTATAGTACAGAAATTTGAAGACAAGGTGTGTATGACATCCTTATCTACCCGCTTCTTCTGTTCATGGAGGTCTATATAGCTCCCCAACATGTACTTCGCTATAAACTCGAAGGCGGAGGGCAGGGTTTTAGTACCTTGGGAACACCGTCAATATCCCAACATGACGGTACAGGACTCGTCAGGTCTGCTGTGACATTAACTAATGTATGATTGTGAATTAACTGTGCGTTAGGTGGAATAAACACCTTGGTTGGACCAGAATTCAACACTCCTGATTGGAAAGGGCAAGGGAGCGTTTGGGAGGCTTATCGCCGAACATGCCCACCCGACACAGAAGCCCGTCGGCTCTACAGTTCATATCGTAACCCTGATGCTGAGGGTACTAAAGTCTTCTTTGGTTCCTCTCATGCTCTTGGAGACGACTTCACTTTCGTGTCAAATGTGGAAGATTCGACCGATTACTGCTCGAACCCTTGGGCTCACTACTCCCAGGGTCACTTTTTTTCAGATTGGCGCACGATACCTGTACTTTTCCCTGTCTTATCACCTGCGAAGGCCACAGGCTTCTCAGATATTAGGGTTCCAAGTCATTATTACCAGGGACAACATCCCAAATACACCTATGGATACAATCCCCATAATGAGAACCCTAAAGACGTTGACGATATGGAGGTTCCGTGGGAAGAAAAACTAGATCTGATTTTCTGGAGGGGTGCAGACACTGGTGGTGGCAGCACTCCTCCAGGCTTTGCGGATCATTATCAACGACACAGGCAATTCTTTCTTGGGCTTGCTATCTCATCACATGACTAACATTTCAGATTTCAGATTCCTCCGGATGGCACATGAAAGCGCAGCGGGAA